ATAAGGGAACAAAGCTCTGCCTTTACAGTTATTTTGCTTGTAATATAAAATTGCTGTATCGGCATTAATTCTACAACCCCAGTGGTAAAAAGTCTCCAAACCTAACAGTGAACTTAAAACAAAGGATGTAAGATTACGTTTTCTTAATGTCAGACATTTCAGTAGCAGTAGACTGGCAGTTGCTCTCGATTTGTACTTTTGTAGGAAGCTTCTCAGTTATCATCATTTGAATCCAATTAATATGTAATATTTCCCTAGTCTGACACAGCTAGGAACATTGGTTAGAAAATGATTGTAAATATACCTATGGCTCTCTCATGTTATGGCTAAATTTATTTGCGTTTGTTTGACAAGTCTATCTCACCTGTGTTTTCTTCATTTTCAGTTTCTCTTTCTCAGTTTCTATCCTTATAATCATTTTTTCTCTTCTTAGGGATCTCAACATTACTATTTAGGTGAGCATAACAGCGGTGTCTTTGGGAGATTTCGTTCAAGACACAATCGATCAGCTTCACAGGGAAGCCTAGATTGCAATATGATCGATCTCCGTACTTCACTGATAAAATTGGAAGCAGAGGACACAGATCTTCGACTTTGTTTTAGAATTATTTCTCCTCAAAAGACTTACACATTACAGGTACCCAATTTATTAGTTATAGAAATGTGAAGGAGAAATATAGCTTCAAGAGGGTAACACAGCTTATTTCTCTATGCTACTAGGCTGAAAATGGAACTGATAGGATGGATTGGGTAAATAAGATCACATCAGCTATAGCAACATGCCTGAATTCTCATTTTCTGCAACAGGTTGGCACAAGACAAGCCTCGGGCTTCTCTTTTCACTCCAACTCAAACTGTGTGTTAAGCTTTTGTGCTAATACATATTGTATTATATTTCTGCAGTCACCAATTCGGTACGTGGATAAAAACTATGCTAGTTCTGGTCCTGCTAGTGATGAGCTCTCCCTGGATCAAAAACAAAATTATAATCGAAGACTAAACATGGGGGATGATGTCTTTACAATACTCAGAGAAATCCCCGGTAATAATGCATGTGCAGAATGCAATGCACCTGACCCTGATTGGGCATCATTGAATCTTGGAGTTTTGATGTGCATTGAATGCTCTGGTGTCCACAGGAATCTTGGCGTTCATATATCCAAGGTAATTTGCTTCTTTTGGTACTATAGTATGTAGCTTCTCTCCATTCAGTTGGAGGTTCTATCGCTGCCATCATCCCGAATATGTAAAGCTCAATCGATAATCTGAAATTTCTGGGTAAAATTTGTTCTGCAGTGTTTATTTCTTGCTGAAGTAAATATTGTTGTAGTCAAAGCTTTTTCTGGAAGTAAAGAAAAAGGTATTCTTGGCTGTCCAAGGAATAGTTCTTTTGTTTCCGCACAAGGCATGCTTTTAGTTAATTACAAGCATTTTGAGACATTTGACGGGATTTTGAGGCAGAAAGACTGTAGAATTTTTAAGAACTCGTGTAGGAGTCAACCTTTTCCGTTGGTGCTGGATACTCAACAAGCTAATGTCATAGATTATCTGCAGGTGAGATCGCTCACTTTGGATGTGAAAGTATGGGAGCCTACAATCTTGGACTTATTTCGGAAATTAGGCAATGCATACTGTAATTCTGTCTGGGAGGAGCTACTTTACCTTGACGATGACGGGTAAGACTTCTCAAGGAAAATTAGACTGTTTATATTTTAAAGTAAAGACTGCCCCTCAAACACAATCAAGAAGTCACGTCTCCCTCATCACAACCAGTTGTCCCTCTTTTACAAGCTTCTATTTTCCTCCAACATGGGATTGATGAACATTTTGCTTTCCTACCTTCTGTTGGATTTTTGCAGTGAAAAGGGATCTACCGACGCGTTTGCATCAATTCCGAAACCATCTTCAAAAGATTCCTTTACGCTAAAGGAGAAATACATTCAAGGAAAGGTATTGTATTTAGCGTTCAAAGTTTCCACAGAAAGGTATCATGTCACTTTGATGATTGGGCATTTGGTGCATCGTCCAATTAGCTCATGCCTGTGAATAGAAGTACGGTAATAATACTAAACCTGCTAATGTTTTATGCCTATGCCAGTACCTGGAAAAAGCGCTAATTGTCAAAGATGAAAGAGAAACAAACCCTTCTGCTTCAAGTAGAATATGGGAAGCTGTTCAAAGTAGGAACATAAGAGAAATCTACCGACTCATTGTAACAGCGGATGCAAATATCATCAATACCAAGTTCGATGATATTACTGGTGTCGATGCATATCACCACCATGTTGATGATACACCATACGAAGTGAAGAAAATGCACGATCCAAATGCGTGTCAAAGAATCAAGGATTCGAACGAAGCAAGAAACTGTCTTCAAGGTTGTTCTTTGTTACATGTGGCGTGTCAAAGCGGTGACCCGATCTTGCTTGAACTATTATTGCAGTTTGGTGCTGACATAAATATGAGAGATTATCACGGAAGAACTCCGTTACACCATTGCATCGCATCAGGGAACAACGCATTCGCAACGGTTTTACTAAGAAGGTAACACACTAACTAGTAGTGATCCCGAAAACCTTTTTTCCAACTCATGAGGAACATTTTGCTATAATATCTGTCTATGTTGAATATTGCAGAGGTGCTCGTCCTTCGATAGAAGATGGTGGAGGATTAACTGTATTGGAACGAGCAATGGAGATGGGAGCCATAACGGACGAAGAACTCTTCCTTCTCTTAGCAGAGTGTCAATAATGTACCATTTCCTGATTTCCCTTGTGTTCAGAACTTCACAGACAAAGAAAGCTGATTGATTATTATGAGACAGATGGTCGTTGATCATCTTACTGTAATTGTTGTAGTATTTGGTCATGAATGGCTCAGTGATGCTATATAAGGTCAAGGTTGTCTTCTTAAGCTGAGTTATGGAATGTACTGTACTGTATTTATAAGTTGATAGAAAGATTTTTTTTTTTTTTCTTTGTCAAAGGCCCTTAAGTTGAAAACTAGCAAAATATTATCGGTCAGAGTCCTCGAATTCGAGACACTTGAACCG